GACAGAACTAACAGCTCTCTATCTGCTGATGTAAAAATTTCCTAAAAATCTCTCTCCATTTTCGAGTGGTAATCAAAAAGAGACAGGGACCTCCAAACTGACCGGAAGTCTCTCATATGGGAGAATTTAATTAATTCACACAGAAGAATAATATTTTTCCTTAACATTCAATCACTACACAACAAATGGTCCCAAGACGATGGGATTATTGATGTACCTATTATTACCCGTATTCCTAAAATTTTGATAGTAAACGCACTTATACTTTTTATGTGTCCGTACTCTACACTATTTTATTAGATAATGAAATAATATGTAACGAAAGAAGGTAAAACACTTTGTAGAGCAGAACATTCGCTACAGAATGAGCATAGACTGGAGTCTTAGAATCTCAGTTAAGTGCTTAGAAAAAAGGGAACACAGGTGTGTCATTATTTCTGACCATCGGTTATGTCTATTTCCACAGTGATTATTGAAGAATGTTGAACAATTTTTCGCTGATTATTTATTGGAATTCTACGTCACATTTTGTCAATTTTGTAATACTAACTTTTAAACATATACATATTTCTTCTTTCGCTTCTTTTCTTGTAAGATGTAGAATTTTATTTGTCGTTGTTTTGCCCTCGTTGGATAAAGCAGATCGCATTGAATAGGAAAAGCTTAATCCCCGAAATTCCTGTGTACTTTCTCTGATTCTATGTTAATATTGACTTTTCCGTGGGAGAGAGATTATGGCGTGACGAGAGCATCGTCTGGTTGGTGAAAGCGTTTTAAAATTAATTGCAGCAAGCTCTCGAAGAAAAGTCCGAGAAAAACATGACGGAATCAAGCGTAACGAAAAATTAGAATCGGTTAGGCATGAGTATCTTCACATATGCGTTTTGAGAAATAAAACGTCACTAGATCACGAGGGTACAGTTCGAAGTCGTTTTCCTCTTGCAAACTGTGGCTCTTATTGTTCCAATAATGTGGTAAAACTTGTGCAGACATGCAGCTCTGCGTGGTTTAGAAAAAGAGAACGGTCGTGATTTCTCTATCCCTCAGTAATAATTAGGCATGCAACCAGTGCCGTGGCGAGAGAAAAAAGCAGGAGGGGTGTGCATTTTTTCTGAGAGATCAACTCTAAAAAAAAAACGCAGCTACCTTTCAACTCTAAAAAAAAAAGCAGCAGAATTCTAAGGAGAAAGGAAAAATTATTGAAGAGAAAGGAAAAACTATTAAAGAGAAAATTTTTCCAGAAGCAGGGGGAGCTTACACCCTCCCACACCCCCCCTTTAGCCACGGCACTGCATGCAACAATCCCAAACTAGGAATCGCTAGTCGGTGCCGAACATGTTCGGTCACTCAGATAGTCACACATTCCAGAAAAGCGCAGGGAACTGTGTTTACGAAAAATTTTACGGGTTCGGCCAGTTTCGAATAATAACCAACTTTACAGAAAGTTTATTTTTCGGTATAATTATATAAAGGATCCTTAGAACAATAGTAGTCAACTAATACATTTAAAAACCTTTGTATGGTTTCGTCTCAAAAGCGGTGGGACAGTTGGTGGCCTTCCCTCGTTAATCCTTTTACGAGTTAGTATTTTGTTTTTTTCACATTCTGTTCTATCAATAATATTAACTCAAAAAGGTATAGTTTCCGATTTGATAAGATACTAACAAATACTTTCTTTATCTATTCCTTTCGGGATATTTAACTTCCATATCGTCTCAATAGAAAAAACGATCTATACTGCTTGTATTTTATATCTTGATACAACACAATACAACATCAAATAAGTTTTCAAATAGTTTCGTCCGATTTTCTTCATTCACGTTATTGTCGGTACCATCGTACTTGGTGATCGTTGTATTCTTTTCATTATCGATGCTTTCAATGGATCAGTGAATTGAAATGAAACAACCATTACACATATCATTGATATATCGATAAAGATATAAGCAATTCGAAAATGATATTTTGGCGGAGTAGTGAAAAATGATATTATTAGAAATAGTACTTAAGGAAAACCAAGTATTATTAATAATATAGTGATAATTTTAACAGAGAAAAAGAGTAGCCAGTAGAATGACCAGAATAGTGCACACGATCAGGAGAATATCGAAAGGAATAAACCAAGATTCAATGACTGTTGTGCTCGAGTTTTTGACAGTTATTGTTGGTTCGATGAAAAAAGATCGATACATTTTTCCAGGCAAGGTTAGAGAATCCAAGAGAGAGTTTTGAAATAAGTATAGTGTCAATATTTCGTCTAATGAATAAGTCATGTGCGATAATAATATACTCAGCACTTCTGCTTCTTTTTCCTTTTTAGCAGACACTCAGTTTCTCGTCTATCATTGTCTTCTTTTCGCCAACTGTCAAATTGAGATTTCTTCCTCACGCTTTGAGTATAAATTAAAGCTTCAAGAATGTTCTTGTTCTCCTCAAACTCGTCTATTTCAAAACACATATCCTCAAAACGGTTGAATTTGGGTCTTTGTCACATGAATTATAGAAAAAGTTATAGAGCTGTTGAGCAGTGAGAGTGCCAGATACTTCTTTTTCTTAATAACTGTACCAGTATTTGAAGAGACTGAAGAACTCTACGTTCTTAAAGATCTATACATTGCGATATTGGTCGATTTTGAAGGATAATATTCTCAAGATAATACAATCCGATGATCGGAGTGTACACTGTAAAAAAAAAAGTATGTAAATGACACACTAAAAGTGAACGCCAACTCGATTCCCAGTGACCATCTAGAATGCACCGCCTAGATGTGTAAAATACACACAGAGATGTGTGTTCAACTGAGAATTGACTGTGTGGCTTTATACACTGAGCCTAAGTATATAACCTAATTGTCTAAAATTGTAGTAATTTGTACTTCGGAGGTTCAAACCTCTCCAATACCGATGTGTTCTTTTTGAATTTTTTTCCGTTTGTTTCATTGAAAAAGAGCACCCTATAGGTTTTCCGATAGACTGATTACGATTCTGAGATTAGCTTTGACTAGTGACTCATAGAAAACAGCTTTTGCGTCAAGAATCTACCAGTACCGACGATCGTTTTCATTTTTCTGCAGTTATTTATGGTCAAAATGATAACTTTCAGATTATCGAATATGCTGGAAGCGATTCTGAACATTGTTTGCCTGTTCTGTTCATAAAAGTTGGTTTGACTGCCAAAAATCGATATACAGAAATTAATTCCTTTGTTTAAATGGTAGCCAGCTGCTTTTTTCTAGAACATCAGTATATAAAAGAACTAGCCGGCTGAATTTTTAGACAATAGACAAATCGCCCTGAAAAGTGTGTCGTTTTTCTTGTCGATTAACTCAGTTCGATTTACTTCCTGCGCTTTATTTCATTTCAACGTTGAGTACCTCATAAAAAAAGACTGATGAACATACAGTTAAAAATAGAAAAAAATTGTTTTCTACACAATGAGTTTCAAGGAAGAAGTGTCAGAAAAGTGTCAAAAATAGAAAACAATAAGTACAAAGAGCTAAGGAGAAAAAGTAAGAGGCTATTGTATTTCCAAAACCGAAATCAATTTTTTTGCACTAGTTGAAAGTTTTTTAAACTGTTCAAATTTTTTTACTTGAATAAAAGAAACGAGGATTAATAGTAACGACTGGAATGGTTTAACATATTCAATATTAAACATATAATACAACACTACACAATAAAATAATACTTTTTTAATGCTGTTGATTCATCGAACGTAATTAATGTTTGGTTACCAAACTGTAGATAATGATGATGGTAATGATATTGTTTTTGATAATTTTGACGTTCAGTTCGATGGTAAGCAAACTTAAAATGATGATGAGGTTGACAGTGTACGATTTAGATCGACAATCCAATAAATATAGAAAGTTGTTCGTGTTGTTTTCATTTAGATTACATTAGCGAAGTCAATCATCCAGAAACTATCGCTAATCAAAATCAAAACGGTCAGTAGTACTGATTCAGTACTATATTCGATATCAAAGCTAACTTCAAGCTCCATTGTTTAATTTCCTCGAGTATGCAGCAGGATTATATTATATGTAAATATTATCATTTTTCTAGATGATGGGGTTCCAAATGGAAATGGTAACGTTCATGATGATGATCAAGATGCTGCTGCAGTTTATCGAGGTAGATTCTTGGATTTTCATTCTGAATAATTCTGTCTTTTTTCTCGATGTTTAGATAATGATGTTGGCATTGATATTGCTTTTGATAATTTTGACGTTCAGTTCGATGGTAAGCAAACTTAATCAGGGCTGGGCAACTCCGCTGACTTTTAGCTCCAACTCAACTCCGTTTTCAAATTTCCTACTCCAACTCTAACTCCAACTCCGCTCAAAATTTTTCAACTCCAACTCCAACTCTCTCAACAAAATCTCAACTCCAGTTCAACTCTGCGGTAACATCTAAGTCAACATTAAGTAACATCTATTAAGTTACTTAATAGATATTTGCACAAGCCTTCATAATACAGATATTTGATTCAGGGCTAAACGCGCTAGCACGAAACCACATTCCAACCGATAATAATGATAAATATATAATTTATTTCTCAAATTTGTGATAACTTTTATATTTATTGATTTTAGATAGTTTTAATACAAGCCATAATGTATTTAACAATGTTCACGGTAAAAAACACTTTTTCAAAACATTATCATAGTTTTCATTAATAACTACTTCTCTTTCTCTCACATGGTTCAGATGAAAATCCTCTTGTTGCTGCTGGCACCGCTGCTGTTGTTGCTAATTATAATAATGGTAAGAGCGTTAAAACGCGTGGTTATTGTTTCAACAGCGGTGACGTATGTTTTTGAACTTAAGCAGCAAACTTTTTGCTAGACATTTTCTTTTTTCTCTAAATGTCGCCGTTAACCATTTAAAATTAAATGATGTTTCCTGAACTGAATCTTGGCAGAACATGCAAAAAGTTTATTGAATGTGTAATTGAAAGAGGATTTGTGAAGGACTAAAAAAGTTGATAACTCTGACAAATTTTTTTTATTTTTTAACTACGCCCATCCCTTGTATGAAAAATGTAATAGACTCTCATGAAACAGTAAACATTTTACGAAAAGTTCTTTTTGTCCGATCAGTTTAAAATCAGTTTATTTGAGGTAATACTAAAATACCGCGAACAACCACGAACATCCCCAAATTACTACTATTAATTCTATTAAAATAAATTAACTACTATAATTAATTCTAGTTATGTCATACCTAAAAAGGTGACTTTTTTTAGAAATTTTTGAAGATATTCTTTTCTGCTTGAAAATAGTACCAATAGACTCAAAACAACCTGAAGATGAATTTGGCACACTACTTTGGGTGTTCGTTAGATGTTTCCATACTCAGTTCAGCAAGCTCTGTCGATTGGTCAACTCAGATTTTAATTTGGGGATGCTCGTGGCTGTTCGCGTATTTTAGTAATATTGGTTTATTTGTAAGTCGCCAGCAATTCAATGATCAAGCTGGCAGGATTTTGGTTTTCTTGTTATGACTGGATAGAGCTCATCGAGTTGCCCAGAAAAAAACTCAATTTTAGACTTTTCAAAAGCATTTTAAGGTGGAAACATGTTAAAATACCATTTACTGAAAATAGGGAGACTGAAATTTTGAAAAATGTGCGAAATTTTCCTGATTAATGTTTTTTGAAATCAGTTGCAGAATCAGGAAACTGCACTCGTGTTTTACTATAAACACAAATATTATTCAACTTAGTTTTCGACGCTGATTCCGGAAAGCCATTGACTTTGCTGAAAAACAAAGGATTGATGGTGAAATGATAAAGCACAAATGCGTTTCCCTGATTCTGCAACTGATTTCAATTTGCTATCAGCAAGTGCGATTCCGCCACGGTTTTTTGCTAAGTTAAAATGATCATAACTTTTTAACGAAAAACAGTGAAGAATCGACCAACGTTTCATTGGAAAGAAGAGAGGAAGCTCTTTAAAACTGAGTTCAGGCGAATTCTTCAAAAACTTTCATTGTGGAGAAAAAATGTAATAAATATGCGCCCCCAAGTTCATTTTTTTTGTCAAAGAACACCGAAATTCTCTGAATGTTTTTCACGTCAACGAAAGTTTTTGAAGAATTCGCCTGAATCCAGTTTTAAGAGCTTCGTCCCTTCTTTCGATTTGAACGATCGAAATAAACACGTTCTCGTCTCAATGCTCTTGCTGCTAATATAGCAATTAAAGCCATTTTCTAAACTTTTTTTTGTTTGAATTTCTTTGCTGCAATCAAACACAGCAAAAAATATACAATTTTTTTAACTTAAGTATACTTTTTAGTTCACTTAAATTAAGTGAAAACTTAAGTAGGGAAATTCACTTAAGTTTTTTAAGGAAACAGGCCCCAGGTTATGCTTGTTTGTCTACTCTTCTGTTTTGCAGTTCATCAGAGGTAACGTTACTGGGGTGGGAAGCGTGACACTCCCCCCAATCTTATTAGTATGTTACACTTGAGCATTCTGTTGTTACATTTGTTCTGCATTCCTTTATTTAGAAGACACCATCATCAAAAACAGCTACGACTAGAAGTCGTCCATATTCTCAATACGACATTCTTCAAGATTTGGACGATTCAGCTAACAACTATTCAACTCTCCGATTTGTTTCAAAAATAGAAGAATATTATAATCGTTGAACAACAGATCAGTTTTCAAGTCCTTTTCATGTTTCATTATCTGTGATCAAACTATTTTTACTGTAAACCTGTTTTTTCTGAATGATCTTCGATTTTTTGTGTAATATGCTCCCATGAATAAAAAAATTAAATCAGGAATGAAAGCAAGATGATTCGAATGATTGGAGAGCGCTAACCGCTTAAAAAACACTGAAGTAGCTTGATTTTTAGTGGAGATAAGAAAGAAATAAACCAAACAACCAGCCGCGTGTTTCTGGTAACTTCGGAGGAGACACAGTTTCGGGTGTCTCCTTGACAAATGGTCTCTACTCTCACACCACTCTTCCCCTATCTGCGCGACACCTTTCGTGCGGTACTCATTTTTAGCGAAAAATAAACACACCATCCTAAAGAGTCCATAATTTAATTCTTTTCGGTCATTATTAGATCTTCTGACAAGCTAGTTTAGCAGATGTCATCCATGTAGCTGCATTTGACAATGATTGACATTTTTTGCAGTGCAACAAATCATCAGACCACGGACCATCAGATTGAAATGGTGACAGATATAAAAGATGCAGGCAGAAGAGTGTTATTATTTCTTTCAATTATCTCTACAGGAGCTTTAATGGACGAATAAGTGTTGTTATCTTTTTCATTTTTAATGCATGCTTTCATATAGTGAATGCATTCTCACTCCTTCGACCGACTGATCACACACAAACAACATACCGAGAGCGAGAGAAAACACTTAAAAACAGACTTTTATAAGATGTTGGACAGGCTAGATTGCGAGTATATAAACACAAGTTCAAGACTTGTGTCTCTATACATAATATTATCGCACAAAAAGCAAACACACAATACAAGTAAGTACTACTTCTGGTTTACATGTTTTTTATCTGTCTACAATTTTTCCTGTTTTACCATAGTAGTTTACAGTTTTTGCGGTGCGTATGCTAGCGAGTGTGTGCATGAAATTTTTACATTTTTACGTTTTTACATTGGTTGTGGTGCATATATTAAGCACAGAGTGAATACAATAATAGACTCTTATTAGTTTTTCGTGCGCCTTACAGTTTTTAACATTACAACAAAGACTACTTTTGGTTTACATTACTTTTATCTATCTATGTAATTCTCCTTGTTTTACCATAGTAGTCCAAGTATTTCGCGGTGCATGTACTGTAGAGTGTGTGCATGAAAGAACATTATATTTTTAAATTTATACTGGTGCATATGTTTAGAAGTGAGTGAATACAGTGATAGAAACTTACGTACGCACTCTAATTCAGTGATATAAGGAGTCTAAACACGTCCCAAATCTTGAGATTAAGAGCAATAAACACATCAGATAGTATACCATACACATCTCTCCACATTCCAACAGGACACCCTCTTTTCAGGCGATCACAATATAACACTATAGCCTTACTAATAAGCACAATAGTAGGAATAACACTAATACTCATAGGAGTCATTGCACGAGAAAAACGCCTGTTTGCCACAGAAGCATGCTCAATGAATTTTTCAGATTTGACTGTGGCTAGTCTCATCTTGTAGAGCATATGCGGAAACCTATAAATCCAAATTTTTTTTTTCGCAGAAGATTTTCACGGGAAAATAGTTTTCCAAAAAAACCTGATTTTTGAGTCGCCGAATTTTCGCCTTTGACAGAGCCGAGAAATTATGATCGATACATCATTTTGTTCAGAATTTTCCGCTCTTTCTAACTACGCAATT